CACACACACACACACACACACACACACACACAGAGAGAGAGAGAGAGAGAGAGAGAGAGAGAGAGAGAGAGAGAGAGAGAGAGAGAGAGAGAGAGGTGATATGTTTTTAGTCGGTCCAGGGAACGTGTATGCCTACATGGTCTAGCTTTATGTCTTGGGAATGTTGCTGCAATGCGTCCTTCTTACTGTAATGCTGACGAGGTGTGCATGGGATACGTCGCTGTGGTCTTGAACGCATGTGTACAGGTTTGTTGGTGCGATTAAGCAGTACTTATGCTTATCATTGCTGAAGAACAGCTCGTCATCATTGATCACGGTGTTCCAGCTATCATGTTCCATTTTGATGAGCTTGGTGTCGAGATTCAGAGCTGGTTTGAAGGCCGAGATTGGAGTTTTCTTTCCAATGATTGTGCTTCGTGTTTTGGAGAACGTGGCTCATCCGAACTACCAGCAGAAGATGATCGTGCTACGTTTTTTGGAGAAGCTATGTGTCGATCCACAGGTGCTGGTTGACGTCTTCGTCAACTATGACTGTGACTTGGAGTCTTCCAACATCTTTGAGAGGTGAGCTAGCCTGACAACAAGTGAGCAGGATTTCTCCTCCTTCGGTATGCCGATTTGTATGATTGTTCTAAGTTGGATGTACATGGGCGGTCTTTCACACTTGCTTGTATGTGTGCGCTCGAGCTTGTGTGTGTGTGTCTCTGTGTGTGTGTGTGTAGCATGCTGAGGCCGCTACACGGGCCCTGTTTTGGGGCCCGATGGTTGTTCCAGGCCCCCAGGCCTCACACCCATTTTTGGTGAGTGCCCTGGAGGCCCACGGCCATATTCCAGGCCAGGCCCCCAGCATTGATTATTTTTGCTGCGTGATTCAGTTTCGGCTGTTGTAGGCCAGGTTCAGATTTGTCCGTATGTGGGACTGCACCAGGCATTTGTCTGTTTGTGCCTGGCCCAGTTTTCAGGACCCTGCTGCATCAGCAGGATTGCCTGGACGTCCGGCAGGGACCCAGGCAGGCTGTCTTCTGGCCAGGATCGTAGGATCAGGACTGAGGCCTGCGATCAGGGCCATCAATCAGACATCAGATCCGACGGTCCTGATCACAGACCGAGGACTGCTCAGCCAGGCCCAGCGGTATATAGCTGGGCCAGTCCACTTTGAGGACATTCGGGCTGGAGCCTCCTTTGGGCGTCACACTGCTGGAGCAGCGCCAGTTTGGGGAGAGCTGCTATAGAGAGGCGCTGGAGGATTAGAGGAGTAGGCTGGAGCGGAGAGGTATGGCGAAGGCCATGTCCACGAGGGAGAGAGAGAGACTTACCTTGGCGCCATAGCTGGGACTTCATATCGGTCATGGGACCGGCCTTCAGCAGGGACGTGCATCGGGAGTCATCACCTTAGCTGGTCAGTATTCACGGCATCGTCATCAGGAGTGCGTGAGAGAGGATAATTCTTCTTCTTCTTCTCCTTCTTCTCCTGATTCTTCTCCACTCCTCCATAGCCACTGTTCTTCTTCTTCTCCTCCTCCTCCCTCTTTTCTTCTTCCTCTTCAGAGATAGACAGATATATTCCTGATGAGTCGGTGAAACTCCGACGAAACAGTTTGTCACAGCCCCTCGTTTGTTGTCCTCTTCTCTCTCTCTGCCTACGGTTTTACCGGGCAGTTCTGTTTGTGACGATATATATATACATATATATGTGCCTCTAGTGCCAGCGGCGTGTCTGGAGTGTATTTTTTGGCTGTGACAGACCTTCTTTGTTTCGTGGGTGTTTTGCTGGCTTGTGATGGGGTGTGAACCGACAGTCTGTAGAGTTTTCCATCTGGTGTGGGTGAGT